AAAGAAAGAAAAAAATTTATAAATCCACTTTCTGTTCATGATGACCAGTTAGGTGAAGGAGCGGGGGATTTGGCAAATCTAATTTTAGGTGACCGGTGTCGAATACTGCGCAGAACAATAATTTTAACTGAAAGTAATTTGAGGACTTTGTTCCTTTGTAAAAGCTTAAATTTCTCATATAGGCTCTCAAGCTTCCATTGATTTGGAGCTACGAACTCGTATAGAATTCTGCTAGAAAGAACAAAAGACAGATTTCATATCGACAATTTGCTTTTTTGTCTCTTTTTCTTGCTAGAAATGATGATCAGTTAGAAGACTCGTAGGACGAAGAGTAATCCTAAAGATTTTAGACAACTCAGTTAGCGAGTACCAGGTTTGCTGATACAAATACATGTCATTGCGCTAAATTTGAAATAGCCAGATCGCTAACAACATGAATAGTTACTGCTTTACAGTTTAACATGAGAATTCATGCTGGGAGTGTTTTAGTGTTTTCTTGCATGCGGGGAGAAAAGAGGGTCAACTAGAATGCTAATGTCGCATCACGGGCCGCGTGCGCCTCAAGCGCGCACGAAATTATCGATTTTGTATAAAGAGAAATGAATAGTTTTCGAAAACCGGTCGTTCACCAACAAGTGCAACAGTGCACAGGATGCCGGGAGGAAAGGTTTACGAAATCCGCAAAATGCACTTGTTGTTGAAGTTGCGATAAAAATAACTTATCGCGTTTGTGCACAGGGAATTTAACTATCAATTTAAATTTACTCTATAGATAAATATAAAATATCCTTTCAAATTCTAGGTTCACAGCTTATCGCGCAAGCGAAATTTTCTTCGTTAAAAACACATTTAACGTGCCCGACAGTGTGGCGTAAGTGCAAATCGAAGCTCGATTTAGATATGCAATTTCGCACATGTACGATAAAAAAATCTAGCAAAATCGCAGCCACACAAACACAACACGTATGCAGATAACTTCTTGTCAATATGCGTTTTTACATTCGCATAAACAAGCAAAAACACATAACAGTGAACAGGAACCGAGTAAGATGTGAAGAGGTTATTTGTCGGCTGTTTGGAAAAATAAATTGTACAATACATTTTTTTTAATTCAGCAAAATTACAGAAGAAAAAAGAAGAATCCAACAGAGACCCAAAACAATTAAAATCAATGTGGCGAAAAAAAAACTTCATGCTTGAACAAAGTAACAACATCCAATACAGTGGCAGTTCACAAGATGTCCAATAGACTAAACTAAAAATATTGAAATTAGAAACTTAACGAATTGAAGAAACATGCTCACAGCACTTCATAAAAAGTACCATAATTTTTAAGAACAGTCAACCGAAGTTCCAACTTCAACAACTTTTTAAGTGTGTTTACAAATTTCTATCAAAGATTTTTGGAATACATGGAGCATCTGGCAATTTAATTGAGAAATGCGTGAAAAAAACGGAAATTTTCTGGATGGCAGTGTGAACAATGTGTAATGTGAAAAGGCGTAACAGTGCCTCAAAAAAGTCATCTATCAAAAAATCAAGAAATATCAGAATGTTTATTTTTCTCAGGATCTTTCACTGCTTAGACAATATCCCTGTTGGAACCAAAAAGAAAAAAAAGAGTGGTTTGTACAGTAGCGACAACGATAGTCAGAACATTAACCATATTTAGCCAAAAACTTCTCGCAAGAAGTTAAATTGGAATAAAACTCTCCCTTTTTGTAGCATTGGCAACCAGTGTGCTCCAGGATTGTATATTTCGCACCTGGGTACGGCGGCTCGTCGTAACTTTGCAACTCCAATAATCCAACGTGAAATACTGCTCGTTCACCACCAGGCATGCGGAACGTCAACTCATCCTTCCTCAAGCACTTCTGAACAAATTCACGTTTGTAACACCCAAATTTCAAAGCAGCAAAAAATATAATGTAAGAATATTAGATATCTTGAAATACTGACGTGCATGAACTGTTGTTCCTCAACAAAATTCCACTCTGAACTTTCCTTCCCTCACTCACTGTTTGCCATTTTTAAGCGAATCTCCTGTAGGATTAATTGCTTTCTTAGTTTGGCTAGCATTCGTCTACCCACAAACACTTTATCCT